CACACACACACACACACACACACTCACACACACACACACACACAAACTCATGCTCGCACAGACTAACAGACACTCACCAATAGGCACACACTCACCCAATTCGTCGACTAGTTGTTCAAATGTACTGCACCCGAAATTTGTGTCCAATTTTTAGTCTGTGGTATCAGTTGATGCTTGAAATATCTTGTTTGAATTCAAATTCTAAATGTGTTGAAAAAGGCAGTAAAAGAAACATTATCACGGTTGCATGTCCTCAAAATGTGTTGGTTGAATTCAAATTCTAAATATATATGATGAAAAAGACAGAAAAGAAATATGATTATACGTAGGTGTACAACTGTTAAAAGAATGCAATACATGTAGGCCTTCTTTTTGTCTCTATTTTTATGAAAAATTTTGCTTTCTAGGCTTAGAACAGTTGAAAGCTTGGCAATGATATGCATTCTCCTCATCTCTCTTAGGGTTCCACTCTGAAGTAAAACATATTGTTTGTCTCTGTCAAAACCGACTTTTATAAACAGGTCAGTCAAAAAAAAAAATTAGTTGAAATGGGAATGAATTAAAGATGACAGCCTTCTGGTACATACATGGCACTTCTGAGCTTCCAAGTGTACTACTTAGTTTTCAAACGAACAATTGTTTATGTTTTTAACTTCCTGCAGTAATGAATATTTATATTCATTTCAGAGATGTCAGACTCAGATGATGATGATCTAGAAGATGCTCCAGCTTTCATAAAGAACGCCTCTCCTTCAAAGTTTGTTCTGTTTTTATGTTATGTTTACATAGCTGCCAACCAGTATGTTATATGTTATTAATGTTAACTAGGTGTTTAATACATTATTGAGGGTCTAAGTAAGTAGTTCTATTTTCTTGTAGAAGATACGCATTCTCTGTTTTCTAGCATTGCTCTTCACTGACTTTCTAAAGCGTAAGGAAAAATGTGAACTTTCAAGACCCGATTTGCAAACAATAGTGAAAACGAAGCCCGTAAAGTCAGTTGACTTATACTTTTGCTGCAGGTCTACTTTGAATAGCTTGAGTTGTTGAAGGAAGAAAAGTGTGTGTACACAGGATTTGGTGGGGAGTTTCCTTGCTCAATTCCAATTCTCACCATCTTTTATGTAGAATCAACTGGTTTTGAAAAGTTGGCAACTATGAGTTCCTTTTGGCACTTTCTAGCTTAAAATGTTTGCGTTGGTTTGGGTGTTTTTTTGGAGGGGGGGGGAGGGGTTGTATTTATAATCGTGAAGATATATCCTCTAGGGTGAGGTAACTGTTTCCTTTAAGAAAAACCCTGAAGACTACTGAATTTTTCATATTAAATGCTCTCATATCAGTATGTCAACTTTTGGTTTAATATGGCCCAGCATTTCAAACGCTGGGTATTTTTGATCCACAAGGGAAATCATGAGCATCTTGACATCCCTGAGTTATATGTTGACCTGTCACTTATCATCCGAAAGACAATTAACAGGGAGAGAAAAAGTTTACCTTATTTTGTCTTCATTACTTTTATATGGGTTCTTTTTCTGTCCTCAGCAGCTTCGAGTACATGTTATTAGTCCAGTCACTACTGAGCTCCCATCCTTCTGCTCGGTATCGTGTAATAGAATGTTAGGTTATGTCTTATTCAGCTGATTTGCCTTTAAAAGTTGGACATTGTTTGAGTTCAATGTTGATTGTGAGCTGGGAAAGAGGTCTAGCATATATGTTTTGGAGGAGTTGGAGAAAAACTTTGTGAATGTTAATAAATTTTGTTTTTGCACGGAAATATGCCTTACTATAAATCAGTTGAAATTTGTGGAGCTTTTTTAGGTTTTCATGAATCTTTTAGTGAAATCTCTGTAACTATAGGTTAGATCATAAATAGTGATAAGGCAAGGAGAAACATTGCCATTGATTTTTTTTAAAAATGTTTCATTATTCCATGTGTATATTCATTGTTTTTAAAACTTTTTTTGCCTTGTCAACTATTTTTTTTTGTTGCTATTTTTTAAGGACTGTACCCCAAAGCTCGTCAAGCTCTCCAGAAAAGGTAATAGTGGCTGTCATAAGAAATTTGTTTTTAACAATCTAGTTCACTACAGGCAGACTGTTTTGCTCCATGCTCTGGCTTAGGTATAGGAGAACAATATTCCCTATCTAATATGTATTTTACATTGTCTGTTATTGGTTGATTTTGAAATTTTATATATTTTTATCAAAATCTAAAGAAACTTCAGTTGGGGAAATAAAATTTGTTTACTTGTTTAAAAAAAATATTTTCACTGCAGCTAAACTAGCATGTCATTGCAGAAAAACACAATAATAAAACCAGTTTTTTTCCCCCCCATTTTAGGAACCTTCCACATCTTCATCACATTCTGGACCTAACAAATTGGATTTGCTGTTATCTGAGCAAAGGAAAGAGGTAGTGTACTCTTCTTTTTTTTTCTTTTTTTTTCATCAGTATACCCCCCCCCCCCCAATTATTGTGTCATCGCTTTTGATTTTACTACTGAAGCAGCTAATCATGTAACCTTAATAATATTTGTTTTAAAACTAACTCCTTCATGGTGTGTGTGTTTCAAACATTTCACTGTCAACCTGTCCTTTTTTGTGGCAAAACAAGGATATCTGTTTGTTAAGGGGCTGAAGGGTGCTACTAGTACTGCCTACTTCTTACTATCCCTCTGCAGTTGTCTTTCTTGCTTTTTCCTATTATGGTGTAGTTGCGCTTCTTTTGAACTCAGACTGATATCTGATCTTGTACATTTCCTATCTTTAACCATTCTTAATAATTCATGTAACAGTCTTAAAGTATATAAAATCTTAACAATTGCCCTAACAGATGCATAAATTTGGGTTCACTATAGTGTTAACGAAACTTGATATCTTGGTAAAATCTTCTTCTGAAATGCATCCATTTCTTCCAACACAGAATGCAGAGGAGGAATATTTGAGAAAAACCAAACTAGAATTGCTTGTAAGTATATCAAGTATCCATTGTTATGATTGTTTTTTAAAATATTTTAATAAGAGTTTTATAGCACTTGCAACACAATAAGGTCGTATAAGTTCTGAAGATTAGAGGCATAACAAGAGAGTAACAAACACACTCAGAAAAAGGAGGAGAGATAAGTGAAATAGATGTTTGTCAGGAAAGAAGGAGCAAACTACACCAGAGAACCCGCCAACCACCCACAATCTTGAAATCGAACAAGTGTTATGATTGGGTAGCTGTTTTTGAATTGTCAAAAGAACGTGTGAAGCTGGTTTATTTTTTCAGGTTTTGGCTTCTTCCAGAAATCTTTCTCTCGTTTAATTAATATTGTGTAAAAAAAGAACTTAAAATGCATAGTTAAATAAATTGTGAACAAGTTTTCTTTTTTGTTTGGTCTGAGGTCTTCATTAATGTTTTTGCTTTTGGATTTGTGCATTTCGAGGTTGAGAAACAACTTCAATTTCAATTACCATTTTGATAAACAGTTAGTACTTGAGGGGACCTACTTTAAGGCTGTACAAGGTTTCAATGATTCTTTTTGAAGTAATGGAAGATCGACATTTCATTAGCGACAGATTATGGTAACAAATTTTCATGTTTTAAGTTTACTCAGTTGTAAGAGTTACTTAGATCTTGAACTTCTGAAAAACGAAAGAAAATTTTACCCTAAATTGTTAAATAGATGTGCCTATTTGGATATAATCATTTTTTCTTGTGTCTATCTAGATCAAATAGTTTTGCTGTCCCTATGTCCCATAGTGTCAGGATTTATTACATTTTTTCATGAGAAAGTTCATACTATTATTTACTACCCATGAGGTTTGTCTTTTTATCTTGTATATTTATTTCGCTTTCCTGTTGTTTTTTAAAATTGTTTCAGAAAAACATTTCAGAAGGGTCACAAGAAGGGAGTGGTCATAATGGTAAGTTCTACTTTTATGAAACTAATCCAGTTGCACCTTCCTTTTATCTGTAGCAATTTTCTTCTACATATTTTGTGAGGAATTACTCATGTGTCATATCACATTGCATTGTTGCTGATTTTATGCAAGGGTAAAATAAACGAAATATTATGTAAGTAAGATAATGAAGACAGAGTGCCATGTGAAAACAAACACAAGGGTCGCCACCACTCCGAGAACAAACGATGCTTCTGTCGCAAGTTCACGTCTACGTCCATTGTTACCCGGTACGTTGTTTCAGATTAGGTAAACAAAACAGTGACCAGTCACTTACACACAATTTGTGCACGAGTTGTGGGTGGGGCTTATAGATTATGACGGATCACGCTACCCTCACCAGCAGTTGAAAATTTATTGTTAGGCCTACGCATTGGTCAACTTGGGTAAACATTCATTGGACGGACTAACAATAACAACAGGTGAATGAATTATGACCACCTGTCCACAGCGTGAGGGGCTGATTCAAAATTTTTTACTAAGCGTCGGACAATGAGTGACCACACTTGACCTCCTGAGGCTAGTAAATTTCTCTGTGGGTTGATGAAATAAGGTGGCTGCGGCCGTGTTGGACAGGTGACCGTTTTACACAGTTAAATTATATAGAAAAAAATGCCAGGGGGGAAATGGAATGTGGCGGTTTTAACAGGTGACCGTCATGGCAGGTTTGACTGTATTCCCCACAACTGTGAAAAGTTCTTTGAAAATTTTCTAGCTTAAAAAAATTGGAATACTCAATAATCCTGGTGATTCTCAATATCTTTCATTACAAACAGTTCTTTATTGCCTATTAGTGTCTGCCATTAACACCCACTTTTGTCCGTTTTTTATCGCTATGGCAGTGGATCACTTACTGTGGTTATTTATTTTTCCAGATGTGACGTGTGACAGTCTGGCTGAGGAACATGCAAGCCACATTGAACAGGTCAGCGTTGTTTCTGGCATGTTTGCTTTTGGAATTTGTGTAAAGAGCTCAGGGCATTAAACTTCTTAGTGTCGACAGATGATTTTAATTTTGTTCTGTGGTGTCACTGCTGATTTAATCAACCACTGAAATTTGAGTCTCTGCTTCGGTTCATTTGTCCATTTTTTTACATCGCCAAACATGTCATCGCCGTCACAATGAGCTTTACTTTCTATTCATATTCTATTTTCTGAAAATGTATAGGTTTATGGACTTTACTTCTTTGGTTCTGCCTTTTTTCAAGCATTTTTCAACATAATATGGTGAAATTATGTAATTTCCCCTGACACCACATGCTATTTGTTAGTGACATATGGAGGGTTCAACTTTTCTGAGTTTCTCTACCATACTTTGTGTGGGTTGGGGTGAAGGCAGAGTAGTTGATGTGAGCTTGTGCATGATGAATGTATACAATTTATACCTGAATGTTTTTTTTACGCACACACATTAACTCTGCTGAGCTTGCTAATCGGTAAGGGGATTTTCAATTGGTACAAATCACTTACTCCTTTCAAGTGGTCAGAAGATCAGAGCATCAGTTTGTATTGTAACAAGCTAGCCCATTCAAAGTATTCTTTCCCTTCACTTAAACAGCATTGTGACTTAAAATTAAACTGTTCAATAGTTTATTAAGATATTAAATCATAGAGACAATATCACCTAAAAATTCACTCTGAAGCCAAGTTGTGCCCCTTGAAATTGGTCTAAGAACCAGATCCCCTTAAAAACCCACTTTTTCTGTCTCCTGATTACCTGGTTCACAGGTGAAGACCACTTTTTATATATATATATGTGTGTGTGTGTGTGTGTGTGTGTGTGTGTGTGTGTGTGTGTGTGTGTGTGTGTGCCTAAAAAAAGGCACTAAAAGTCGCCACAGATGATTTTCAGCTACTGGCTGATAATTACAAAAAATCTCTTTTTTGGCCAAAACGTGTTTCCATTAAAAAAGGATAGTTCCACTATTTTTTAACAATGTATTAAAATGGTTTTCATTGATTTGACTTCTAAATATTCTATTTTGAATAATTTTGAGACTAGAGCTTTTTTTAAAGAGATAATGAAAACTACTTTTAGAAGGTGTTAAAATCTATTCTTGAAGCATGTTTTCTAATCCCTGCTATGTTTTACCATTGAATTCTAATCATGATATTGATGTTAACTGAATGCTAAATTGGAAATTAATTTGTCATGAATACATTAGAAACAATTGAATCATCATTTTTTTCAAGTTTGTATGTGTCTTAAACTTAAAAGCTAATTTTCTTAAAATTGGATCTTTATACCCTTCCTCACAAAATGTGTAATATATCTAAAAGTACTTGAGATATCTAAAAAATTCAAAAATTCCTATGTTCAGCATTGAATTTCCTATAAAGTGCAACCCTTAACTCAAAATGGTCATAATCCGATTTTGGTACCTTTCTTTAGGAACAAACACATACACACACACACAAATATGTATATATGTATATATATATATATATATATATACATATATAAATATATATATATATTAGAATATATTTATATCTTGGTTTTGAATCCTGTCACTCTTGGAATTTTAAAATGTGATCCGTTCAAAAGGGTTAAAGCTACATTGTTGCAGCAACTCATAATTTTGACTTGTAAAGTAGCAATAGATAGTTATTCTCAACCGAAAAAAATAGGAAAAGAAAGGACTTATTTAACACTTTGCCATCTTATTTTGGGGAAAATCCAAAGAAACTGGGTGGTAAACATCGCCAATCGGCAAGATGAGGCGGCAAAGTGTTAATCCTGCAGGAGAATTCTTACCTGAAAAATATGTATGAAAAATAGTAATACATGCACAAACAGTACGTGATACCGGATGTCTTAAAGAAAAGAGGACCCATTTATAGGGCAATAACTTGGTCATCTTTAGACCGATTTCCACGAAACTGTAAAGAAATTATATTCAACATTATATTTGTCAAAATGAAACAAATCAGCCGCCCTATTCGAAAAAAATCAAGCATTTAAGATTTCAACCTAAATAGAGCGAAACACAAAACTTTACAACTTTTTAAAACTCAATTATACTGTTCTATTTCAAATTTTGTGCATTGAAGAACAAATTTCTGCAAAAAATCATAGTACCAAATAAACCCAGAGAGGTGACAGCTACTTGCTTAGGGGTTGCTACTTGTACCATTGGAGATGCACCTTTGCCAGTCACTATGGTACAGTGTTCATGCTGAGCTGGGCTACCTTACCCTGCCAAGGCTGACACACACCAGAGAAGCCACTCATTCTAAAGCTGTTATTGACACTAACATTGTTTGTGTGAACCTGCACTCCCTAATCATTGGATTGTCAGACCTCATACTTTACATGGTGGTGTGGACAACCTTTGTTTGAGCTATGCAATGGAACCATCATAGAAGTGGCATCGGTAGCTTAGTGGTTAGGTTACCGGACTCGTAATCGTGAGTTTGCAGGTTCAGGGGTTCGAGCCTCAGCTCGGTCCAAGGTTATGTCCTTGGAAAAGGCTCTTTACACGAATTTCCCTCTTGGCTTGGCCCTTTCGGAGATGGATGTTAAACTCGGAAGTCCCGCCTCTTAAATAACCTAACAGTGTTGATACGGGTGTTAAACCTATACCAATTCACCATTTCACCATCAAAGAGAATTGCCAGTGTTGGATTTCGTGCCTTTTTCATATTTTTTTTATGCATACAGCATTACTTTGGTTTGAAAATGCTTTGTAGGACATTGTAGCAAGAATTTTTTTTTTCATTATGATGGTAACAGCACTCCCCCAAGCTAAGAATAGGAGGTATTCTTAGAAAACTGATTTCAGGCTGTCCCCATTTCAAAACAGACAACTGGAAATGAAAACAAATGAATGCCACTGTTCTCCCATTGTAAATTTTGTTTTGGTTCTTCTATTTAACCAGCTGGAGCTGAAGACCAGTGAGCTCCTCCATGTCCAGCCGGGTGTGCTCTTGTTCCATCCGGACAAATACTGCTGTGAATTTGATGAGTCCATCACTCCATCCCAGTGTGGCTTCATTTCCTCAGGGTCATCAGTGGACTCTTTATTAGCATCACTCACTTCTGGTAGTTATTTTTTTTTTTTAATTTGCAGTTTTTTGTGCTTAGTCTAGACTTTTTTATAAGGTACAATTATGTAAAGATCTTTTTATTAACACTTTGCAGTCACTTGGTGCAATAATGTGCCGATGAAAATTATCCGTTCCGGTCGAAGAATTTGTTGCAGTCACTCTCCTGGCTGGGTGACCAGATGGGATATTTTGTAGTACTGGCTGTGTGACTGCAAAATGTTATGAGTTTGGTTAGTAAATTTTTACTTTCACTTTCTAAACTGAAAATTACCTTTTCAGATTTGAACTTTTTAATGGGAGTTTATGATTGATGTCCTTAACCATTAAGTCGGGAGTTATATATTCCAGATGTTTGATGTGTTGATATTGTCAGTCTGTTTGTGGTTTTCATTCTTTTGTTCAGAGAATTGAACGCGGCAGTCATGGAATAGGGAAAAATAAGGGTACTTGGTATGAAATTATTTAAAAGATACACATGGTATATTGTACGTGCTTTTTTTCTTTTACACCTTTTCGAAAGTATTTTTGTGTGTATTTCTAATTCTAAATTTTCTTTGCCTTTACAATCACAGAGAGGCTCTGCACAGTACTACTGTCAAAAGTTTTGGTAACATGCTTTAACAGAGTGTCCCATTCCAATGTTGTCATGCAGTGGCTGTTTCTTCTCAGTGAGTCCACCCTCTTTGGGCTTAGTTATTGTTGTTAGGCAAAGGAGTCGTACTAAATTTTACTTTCCTCATTGTGAAGGCCAAATTATTCATTCAATATCTCTTCTCAAAGTGAGAGACAGAGAAGGTGTGTGTGTGTGTGATTGTGTGTATGTGTGATTGTGTGTATGTGTGTGTGAGAGAGAGAAATTTTTTTTGGAGAATGAAATCATACTGAAATTTTTTCTTCTGAACCAAATAGCTCAGTTATAACGAAAAATAAGCATTATGTTTTTTCAATGTGCTTTGTTTGACGATCTTAAAGTGAGTGCTTTGTTGACGTTTTATGGAATATAATCCTGTTGACGATTATTATGAAGTGCATTATTACCCATAATGAATTTTGTTGTCAGTCTCAAAGAAAATGTATGAAACTGAATGAAACCAGTATACAAATAAGGGTTAAAGAACTTTGGAGCCTCTTTATGAGTTCATTTTACACAGATATTTTTTGTCTTGTGACTTGTTCTGAAAAGAGCTATTTTTAGTTCATAGCGCTATATGTTAGACATCGTGGTGATATCAGGCACTTGTCAATATAATGAAATCGAAAAAAGGCTTCTTCCTGTCAGTTTGGACATTTTTATTGAATTTTTATTTTTTGGCTCAACTCCTTTTATGTAAGTCTATGTTAATTTTACTAAAAAATATTGATTATAGACACAAAATATGTCTTTTTTCAGGTTTCCAGGACTCTTAAGCAATTGAAGTCACCCAACTTTGGTGGCCGTTTTCTTACTAATTTTACGACTGAAACTAGGCAACCCCCACTTTCTTTAATCACAATTATTTCAACTTGTATTCGAGATACCGGTATATGGGTATTTTTTCATTGAAAGCTAGGCAAATGAATATACTTTCAGATTATACCAATAACTCCACATGCCCTAAAATTGAGGAGCGCCTAATTCCAACGCTTTGTGACAGATATATATGAGTAGGCATTCTTCTTTTCTTTGTCCTGCAAATCTAATGTTGAGAATGTAGTTTTTATCTTATGTTACCTTTCACTTCCAACGGCGCAGATCTCGTAGGTCCCCGGGCGCCCAGCGATTACTGTGTCTTGTCTCTGTTACTGCTAGGACTGACGCTCTCTCCTCTCATGTTGAGTTTTTAGTCTCCAGTCGATCTTGTTTGTACTCATCAGTGCACGAGGAAAAACTGCTACCCATGCATCACCAATTGGCCAGAAAGTCGCCCCCCCGAAACAAGTCAGGTTTTGGGGACGTGAAAGGCTAAAATATCGGCCCTACAATAAGATTTGTTTCATTTCTGTTTTGTTTTGTAATAACTTATGATGGCTTTAGACATGTTCTGTGAAGAAAATATCACTATTATCATTTTCTCTTTGTTCAGTGTCTGTGCATAGATCACCAGTGGTCAAGCAGTTCTGCTGTAATAACCTGATGGACATACTGCAGCAAACAAAAAACCAGCCGATGTCACCACAAGGCGTTTTGGTGCAGACTTGGTGCCCTACAGTTCTACTGCTTTTAAAGTTGTTAGTCAATCTTGGTATGTATAGTGTGACATGGGGGGAAAAGAATTATGTTTGAAGTAATATGTTTGAGATGTAGCATTTCATGCTTTTATGTTTCAAGGCTTCTCTTTTGTATTCTAAGGGTCTGTCTCTGTTGTTTTGTTTTTTTCGGTTTTTCGTATGAGTTTTTTAAAGCTAAAAACTTTAGCTGATATGGGGGTGTGTCATGACCATGTAACAATGTACGTTCTGGATACAATGCTTAAAAAGAGTTTAAAATAAAGTTTTAGGTTAGGCTCAGATAGGTCAATTTATGGATGGGGAGTGTTTATAAAACACAGTTTAAACATTAATATATGCTTTGTATGGAGAAAGTACATTTTTCATGGTGTACAAAAGATAGTAATTAATTCCATCTTGCCTTTTTCGCATTTTTGTACTACAACCCTATGATAGACAAGCTAATTATATAAAAGTAACTTGTCCCACTTCCCACAGCTTTACTTGGATGGCCACACCAATAGTCATGTTATCTCATAATAGTGAATTTTTTAAACCTGTGCAATCATCTTTTTCAAGTTGAGCAGCAGGGTTCTTGAATTATAGCAATTTGTCTTAGATTGTTTTGTTTTTAAAAATATTTTCTGCAGGAGCTGATGCTAATACTTTGCTGGGACATCAAACACTGTACTCTGCTGCTGAAGTCAGGTTATCTATATTCCAATATCTTATTTGTTTTGTGAAAGAACTGTGACTGTTAACTTGTTAACAGAATGTTTCTATGCATTGCTAACTGAGATGCATTCATGAGCTCTCTTTAGAAGAAATCAAGCCCTCTTTATTACCAGTGTGCTAAAAGTTGAAAGTATAGCAGTAACTGCGAATGTACAGTGCTGTGTGTCAAATATCTCTTTGGTCTGTGTACTATCATTCTGTGTTTTCTTTTTAATACTTATACTTTGACCACGTGGGTGGTTGGCGGGTGCTCTGGTGTGGTTTGCTTCTTCTTTCCTGTCAAACATCTATCGTCCTTATCTCCCCTCCTTCTTTTTTGTGTTTGTTACTGTCGTTGACCAGATGACAAGGACATGTGGTTAATTAACTCTTTTTATCCGGGCTACGAGTATACTCGTAACGAGGACCAATCCGGGCTACGAGTATACTCAGAACAGCGATACGGTCTTGTCAATTACCAAAATACGCTAATACGGCGATGCTAGCTCTGTCTGAATATTTAAATTTTCCAATGAACAGTGGTTTCTTTGTTTTTGATGGGTGCAGAAGCTTGAAAGATTTCTCGAAAACGCACGTTCACGACCGACAAAGTACTTTTTGAAGTGACGCTGGGTAGTGAGGGGGAATGATACTAATTTGATGACGGTGACTCTGAATCAAGTGCTGTAAATTCCGTTGTAGATGATAACTAACAGAACTTAGGCTCATCTAATAGCGATTCAGATCATTGTGAAAGGGTAAGTACTGGAATTCGTGCCAGATCGATGGGTAGCGCTAGATCTACAAAATCCAATGGGACGTTGTGTGTGCGGCAATCAGGGTCAAGTTGGAGGGGGGAATACACCTCAAAATCTACATTGTGCAATTGGTGTAATTCTTAACCACATACATTTACAAAAACTACATTCAATTTCTAACATAACTGCCGAATTTCCTTAAAACCTAAGAGTAAACATAAAAAACAGAGCACTTTGAAATATACACCCTGAATTCCAACTCATTTGGCGCGGCAGCCCCAGGATAAAAAGAGTTTAGGGAGGCATTGCGCTGCCAAGAGTGCAATGCTTGCAGCTAAAGAGATTTGAAAACAACAACAACTGTCTTGTAACACCTCTCTAATCTTTGGCACTCATATGACCTTATTGTGTTGCAAGTGCCGTAAAAGTGTTACTAAAACTTAAACTTTGACCACCAGGCCATGAGCAGGGCATTAAATTTAAATCATATCTTTTTGATTTCTCCTTTTCAGTCAGACTTTGATTTCAGAAAAATCGGATGTTAAAGGCGAACATATACAGCAAAGTGGATCCTTCTGCCCAGAGAATTTGGGTCTTGTGCTGAATGTGTTAGCTGTCAGTCTTCAGTCCAGGTATTGTAAATAAATAAATTCATGGTGGATTGAGTAATTAACCCCTTCACTGCTGTGTGAACGTGTCTCATACTGACTGATAATCTGTCGCACAGTGCTGTGTAAATGTATCCCATACGGTTGTTCAAACTCATGTATTGTTTCGTTGATATTTGAGGTTCTACCTAGTTTTGAATAAAGAGAGTGACATCCTTTGAAAGCTTATCATTTTAGCTATGAGGTCATATCTATATATAGACTATTGGACGGAAAGGGCGGGTTCTACAACACAAAAACAAAGAAAGCGAGGTGTGTTGTTTTTCTTACACCTACTGTGCAAAGGCCGGCATGTCGACAGGGAAGGCTTGCCGCCGTTCTTTACACTATTTACATCGTTATAGCCTGTTCTACCCGAGTCTTGGCTGTGGATAAAACAATTTCTTCATTTATTGTCTTTCTACTGATATGTACAGGGTGATCCCAAAAAATCTAAACTTCTTTTTTTTCTGAATATCTCGCGCAAAATTTGTACTAGAATGTTGTAATTTGAAATGCTCAAAGTCACACACACTGTAAACTTTACAGTATGCAGTTGTTACTGCAGACAGTACGGGGTAGGATGAGGTTGTCCAAATAGCATTTGTAGAGTTAACTTATCCTGAAAGGTGAATATGGGCTTTGCCAAGGAACCAAATGTTCACGTTTTCCAATATGATGGAGGAATCATGAACACATTGTTATCCTCTGATCCATGTGAGCTTCACGAACAGGAAAATGGTACAGTCGTAGATGAAGATCTACCTTGAGAATGCAGATCGTTGAGGTGTAGGAAAGTCCTTGCTGCAGACATTGTCTACGGACAGACGTCTCTTTGGGCTATTTACTGAATGCTGCTCCCTGGTGACGTTTAAAGGTGTGCAAACGGTGTATGTTTAACTTGAAGTGGTCATTTTGCCTGGGAATTTTTACTTCTGATTCTCTACAGGTCCTAACAGATGGACCATTTTCACCCTTGAAATCAAAGGAGGCCTTTAGGACACTTTAACATTATTTCCACACCTTGTGCGAAACTTATAAATGAGCTGGTGGTGAGGAAATGTTCCATACAAAAAGCTCTCTGCTCTTTACTAATCTTAACCATGATCTCAACAGGCAAAGGGAACTTGAGAAAAACTATCTGCAAACTTCTGTTGGTCTGTTAGACTACTGTAGCTTGCAATATAGTCAAATCTTTGGGACTTTTAGTGGTAGGCCATATATATTTACACAAAAAAATGTTTTTTATATTTTTAATCTCCCCGTAGTTTGATGAGAAGCGCAAGCTTTGTTACCCATATAATGAAGCTAAGTGTGTTGTCTTTCATACTCACATCGTGTGAGACAGAGCTAATGCATAGATTCGGAACACTTGTTCGGTCTTAGTTCTTTCTAGTTGTTTACATTGCTAATGGATTGAATTAATGCAGGTCTTGTCAGTGGATGAATTCATCTTATCATTAATTTTTCTATTGGTATACATTTTACCGATCTGTCTCTTTTTATAAGTGAACAACCGTCGATTAAAGATTGTGATCTGTGAGATTTTGCACATGGTAGAATTTTTCTCAGCATGTGGGGTTCATATATGATTATATGGTTAGCAGTCAACGGATTAAGAGTCATTTTACATTATTTGTATGTTTCCACATCACACAACATTAGTTTGCTGATCCTCAAGTAGTTATGTAAAGATATGAACTCCTGTGTAAGAAAGTAACCATTTCCTTCAATAGCAAAAGTATATTTGACCTTTTATAAGTGGAGTTACGCATTTTGTGGTTAGAGTACTTTATTGTTACTTTCTTTGTGCTCTACAATAAACTGTTTACCTAAAAAATCTCTGTAAATAAATTTTGTATAAACAGGCATAAGCCTGAAAACAGCTCTGGTTTATTGAAAAGTATTTTCTGAGTTTGTATAGGATACCAGATGTCTTACTAAATTTTGAACTTATAGGCGCCTTACTGTGTATTAGTACTCATTATCCAAGTGTACTTGTTTTATATATTTGAATTTATTATTTGAGCTTTTAGATTTGGAACATATGTGCTTGAAGTCATATGCAGAAGAATATCGTATTCATAATTTATCAAGGCAATGCTATATTTAATATTGCCGTATTCTTTCTTGTATCTGCACAGACCCAGTCTTTCAAAAGAAGAACTTCATATAATGTTTTACATGGTGGCCAAGACTTCGTTGGATCCTGCTTTACAAAAGTAAATACACAAGTGCTGCTTGGATTGTCATGTTCATGTTCCATGTAGAATGGGCTTGAAAAATAGTTAAATGCTGTGCTGTTGTTGATAACAGTGTGTATGCCCTATTTGTCCTTGTGTTAAAAACAGGAACAAAGAAATATTAATGCATCTATAACTGTGACATAATAGCTGAAGCAGTTTTTTATTTTTTTTAGGGGGGGGGGGATTCTAAATGCAGCTTTTTATTGTGTTATACATTAAGATTATTAATAGTGATGCTCCATAAGTTCTCTTGTTCATTGATGTTGGTCTTCGTTTTATAGTTTATGTATGGTAGATATAAAAGTCCTAATAAGTCAAGAGAGGTAAAGTGACTAAAATATTTGGTATAGTTAAAGCAAATGGTTGTATTGTGGTAGATACTCTTATCTTTTATGTTTCTTGTCTGTCTAAGGACTTAATACAGAAATATATGTGAGGCAGCGTGGTGGAATCAGGGTTTCGTCAGTTTTTGGGCATGTAGAGTTATTGATATCATCTTAAAGCTTGTTCACTTGTCTTTATTTGGATGAAAAATATATCCATTTATCTTGAATACAAGTCGAGATATTTGCGAATGAAGGAGGCAGGGTTACCTGTTTTCAGAGGTAAAATTAGTGACAAAATGGCCGCCAAAGATTAGTTATCTCCTTAGCTTAAGAGTCCGTGGTAATAGAAAATTAACTTTTTTTGTGCCTTTAACTCATTCGCTACGCCGAGCCGTGGGGGGCGGCGCGGCTAAAGTGCCGTCAGTACGCTAAGCCGCCCCCGGCGGCTCGGGCGGCTCGAGAACCGACGTTTAATTTTAGCTTGGTTTCTATTCCAATCCACATATCCATGTTAAGATAAAGGTCATAATATAAAGTTGACTTCCGGGTCAAGCGTTTCCACCGAAAATCGGAACTTTTGATTCAATTGTGAAACACGATTTCGAAGTTTATGCGACATTGTTTTATCGCGAAGCCGAAATTATAGCCCAGACACCAGTCTTAGTACTTTTACACAACAAAATGTATCATTATTTTGCTCACTAAAGAAGTGTAGGACTCTTATTTATAATATTGATACTACTAGACTCAAATTGCCAGTGCACTGAAATTGAGAAATCAATATTTTTGAGTGCTTGATCTAGGCCTAAATCTAAATAGTCAAAATATTTTTTTCTCCCCAAAATCACTACTTTTTGGTGAATTTACTCAAAAAGTACCCCCCAAGACATGTATTGGTTTATTCCAAATGCAATTCTGAATAAATCCATATAAGATACGAGTATTTTTTTCTGTTTGGGATCCTTTTTTCAAAATTATTATAAAATTCTTTTTTTTTCAATATCGGAGGTTATGATCCAAATGTACAAATATTATGGAATGTATGTAAATAACTGCTCATTTTTCAATATTTTCCTGTTCTATATACAATTATGGTTATTTTGATGTATAATTTGACTAGGTGCAAACATATTTTTTGAGTTTCATCTGAGATTGTAAATTGTTTGTTTTCAAATTTTATCCGCAGCCAATCACAATTGTGTTGCATAATCGCCTCTTACAGGAACCAAAGTTGAAAAATACTCAAATAAACAATACAGATGTATTCTACAAATCATACTGAAAATGTTGGTATATAATATGTTTATATTTATTTGAATTTATGGCCCCCAAGACCTGTGAACTGCGCACTAGTCATCATCTCATTTCGCCCTCCTGAAAAAATTCGTCCACAAGCCGAAAATAATACGTAGCGAATGAGTTAAATAACATTTTTTAGAAAAATCCACACAGAAATTAGTTCTTTAGTGAGCGTGAAAGGTGTTGAGCCGAAAAACAAAAATTTGACCCAAAAAAAGTTTGAAAATAGGAAAGTCAGTATAATATGCTCTGAACTTAAAGTTTTGTTCATAAAAATGCTGGCAAAGTGTCAGTGTGCAACGGTTTTCTTCCTCAGTTGTTTGCAGCGTGAGCTACAAGTCTGTTTTAGTTCCATTCTAGAGTGCTTCAGTGATGCTGACTGGCCTTCTGTTGTGAGTTTGTGCATACTGTAACATACAATAGTTTTCAATCATGTGTCAAGATGTTGTGGGTGTCAAATGCGGGTTAATGGAAATACAAATAGGTACACCGAAAAAGTTGTATCAAATGTGTCCAGAAAACTTCTCTTCAGTTCAGGAGAGGTGGATATAAGGCAACACTCCTTGTAATTATTATGTACTGATAATGATTATTGTTTTGTTTTTTGTTCAACATTATTTTTTTACAAAATAAATCATGCAAGGTTTGGACCCTTCAACCAGCAGTGGGTTTAATTAATACTGGGTGCCCATTGGCATCATGGATTCAGTTCAGTTTGGTTTTGTTGGTTTGGGGCTAACCAGATTGTCCTCCACGGGAGGGGCAAAACTGACAAAACAGACAAAACTGATGATGACCTTCCATAACAAACAGGTTTGTTTTCAAGGTCGCGCTTCAGGTGATTGGTTTGGGCAGTTGATGTATTTATAGTATGCACTGAAGCTGCCAGAAACTGAACAGAACCAAACCGAACAGATCCTCCAATGGGCACCGGGTATAAACTAGACATATATGCTTTTTGCCGTTTACAAATTCCACTGATACAACTGTTGACAATTTTTCTCAATTTGCAACTCCCAACCCTGGACCATGAGCAGTGTTTCATGGCTCACCACTTCCTGCTTCAAAACCATACCTACTTTTGTAACAAGGGAAACTAAAATCTCAGGCTGAAGAATGATCTTTTTTAGCCACATGTTGGGATAGATAATTATTTCCTCTTTATTTTCGTATGTAATTCACGTGGCTAAAATTGCAAATTGAACTCGAAATCTTTAATTTGTCTGATGGTAAGCAGAATCAGAAAGTAGGTCACAGATAGGGCCTGGTCCACGTGAGGAAAACCCCCCAGTAGTGAAAGACTAAATCTCATGTAGTCTAAAGCTCCACTGTATCTTTTTGTTGTTAACGAGAATTATATTATTTTCCAGATACCAGAGTTGTGCAGAAATTTGTCCAGCATAAGCAGCCACCACCATGACCAGGCCTACCTGGTAGAACTGCTCACCTCTGGCCTGAGGGGCGAAGAGCTCCAGACCAGGCTGGCCTATGTGTTCCTGTGCCTCCAACTGGCTCCAGATGATGGAGATATGCCTCCTTCAGAGCTGCCAAAGGTTAAGGCAAGTAGCCCAGTAATGAAAAATATGAAAAGTTTTAAACTTTATTGTAGTTTTTCCTAATCTTTGAACTTTTCTTTTTTCCCAACAGTCCATAGTTGAAGTGGGATCTTTCAACAATGAAAGAGATTGGTACTGTGTTCACATAAACATACTAGATTTAAGTGGTAATATCTGTATTCTTTTCTATGCATTACTGTCATTTGAGTTCAATATATTTCAATGGAAAATGTCACTTTGCACTCTGCTTCATATTGTTTACAACTTTGGTCTTTTGGAAAAATAAAAGGTTGAGTGAATGGTAGTCATTAATTGTGATTAAATTTTTGTAGTGTTTTTAGTGCTATATATTTTTATTTCTCAACCAGTTTATCCTTTGATGATGGTTATTATGATTATTATACCTTGCTCATAAGGTACATTCAAATACTTCATCACTTGATTTTCAATTTTCTTTACCTATTTCAGCTGACAGATATTGCGTGGCTTGGCCGGACTCCAGACTTGAAGCAGCCATCCACTCTGACCACATCAATCTTGCAGCTGGTCAATGATGACCTGTACAGAGTGTCCTCTCTGTTGCGCTTGCTTGATCTCTGTGTGGGAAATGAAAGGAACAGGGCAGCCAAGCCTAAGGTTGGGAGAGTAAAACTTATTGTTAATGCTATGCAGTGTTCTCATTCTCAAAGTGCTATTTGATGAATACTGTGAATTTGATCATTTTATTTATAGTTGTGTTGAGCTCAAGGCACTATTACTAGATTCAAACGTTCTCTTTGAAGACAGATGTACATTTGTGATTTACTTTTGCTGTTATTGATAAGGGTGCCACTTTTTCTGAAGTTTATGAGTTCTATGGGATTTGCTGTCTGCAGTTTTTTTCCTCTTCGACTTTTTTGTATGTATTTGATATCAGCTTGTTTTTCTCTGCACTATCTGAAACAACCTCAATGTATTGACACAGATTATTGGGTTTTTCAAAAAGATACTGTGGTCAGGCTAATACTCTACCTTTTTTGGCATTTGCCATTACTAAAACTCTTAATTCGTGGACAGTATTGCGTACAGACATATCTCAAAGACCTCCAAAAATGACTAACGTCTGTAGGCAATACTGCCCGCGAATTATATGTTTGAACTTGGACATAGTTCTTCCATTTCTCAGATTTTATTAGTGGTAATTTTTTTAGTCTAAAGTAAAGCTCACCCCCCGGGGCAGTGCTACTGACTGAAGTGTCTTTAGGCCATTCCCAAATGGGGGACAGTAACATGTTCTTATACACAGTAGAATTGTAAATTGTAAATGGGCTGATTCATCAATGTCATGCTCATAACTGTGCCTGAACTGCAACAGGGAACTGCTGCTTTTTCTTTCCTAATCCTTACTATCGTCATTTTTCCTCTTTTTTTTGGTATGTTCGTCACACTCTTTTGACCCGCTATTTCCGGGGTGCCTTGATAGTCGAAGCAGACTTTGTGCTGTTGAAGCTAGAGAGGTGAGCAGAGTAAGTCAGATTCCCTGTAAAGACTTCTCTGTTGACATCCACCCCTTGGTGCTCATATGACCGTATGCAGTTGCAAGCGCAGTAAAACCTCTAACAAAAACAAAACAAACAAAAGTAAAGCTAAGTTGAGCTTCAGCTTGTATATAATTGGGCTAATCATAATATGAATAAACTTATGTACAAGTTACATGTCAAATTTATTTTTTCTTGTATTGAATTTCTGTATTTCCCACTTTGGAGGTAACAGTGATAACTAGACTTCTGAACTTCACAAAATGTTTGATGTTATAGGAAGTGTACTAAGCACAGAGGTTTCTGTGTAGGGCAAGGTTGTATTTTTTAGAAGTGAACCGGCTTTTATACATTTGTACAAACAGAGGATGTTTCAGAGAATTTTTTGATAATAAAATGTATATTTGTTGTCACATGCTGAGTGATGTAAGACAATGTTGAAAAAGATAGTTTTTGTAATGAACAGTTCTTATGATTATGAGAATGTGCCACCATATAATATTAATACAGAGGTATTGATATTAGAAATTAATGACTTTATCACAAGTTATAACTAATTATTCTCTCTTTGTTTGATGGGAGAAGACAAACAAAGCTGCATAATAAAGAAAACAATCAATCCCATTTTTTATCAACCCTTCAGGAGGAGTTACAGTATCTGTTGGGCCAAGTAAAACTCATTATTAAAGGCATCAGAGACAACATACTTCAGCAGGATCTTTCCAAGGTAATGCATGCTGCCTTTTCAACCATAGGCAGACTTGATTATTCTACAATACTTTTTACCCATTTTTCATGTTTGTTATTAGTAGGATAAAAAGTGCTTCTTGTTGGAAAATATGGGTTACAATTGCGTACTACGTGCTAAGCATGCGTTTAAAGATTTACACTCTTTAACAAGTAATGTCATGCATCTCTTTATTTGTAAACTTTGTCAAATGATTTGATGAAAACACCTTTGTTGGTGGCTGCATTGTATTGCCCTGATTCATTTAAGGTACTGCTCTATTTCTTGCTCAAGAACACTTTCTAGAGACTTCCAGTATACAGGCTATATTACTGACATTGCTTGATATTTTGGGCTTGAATTGTCAGATTCTCCCTCTTTTGGATCTCTAAAACCCCTGGTTCTGTTCTCTAAATCATCAGTGTCCAGAAGTCCATATGGCTTGTAAATTTTAATTACGTCCTTTTCATGTTTTTTTTTTCTCTACTGGCTTTTTTCATGTTTTGCTCCCTTCCTGTTTTGAACTCGCAGTCACACTTTTGTTTTTATCTGCTGCACGTTTCTGAAATTGTGAAATTGTTGGTTCATAGGTTTGAATTTGAAAAATCTTGTTATGACTTCCTTCTTTTAAAATTGTACTTTTAGTATATGTTCTTAAACTTCCCTGTCAACACTGAAAGTTTGAATTTTGGATTCTCCTTCAGAGATTGTTTCCTGTGCATTTCCACTTAAGTATCTTGGAGAAAACCCCCCCCCCCATGCAAATACTGACTCTTTGTGAGATTTTGGGTGGGGCACAACATTCCTGCTAAATTTTCAAATATGATGACTATCATTATAATGTGTTAAATAATTGTAGTGTTTGAGTACAATGTTACACATTTATGGCTGCAGAAATAATCTTTTTTGTAGTTAAGGAATTACAGTGATTTACCCTATTAGCACAATAATGCCTATTTATTAGCATGGTCTTATCAATTTCAACTCTACAGATCAAAGATATTTTGTCACGTATGAAAGTGAAATGGTCCTTGACTCTCCATAACCAGAGAAGTGTTCAAGTAAGTCAACACAGTTTATATTATGATAAACTAATTGGACCTTAGTTACTGTACTTAACAGAATGTACCCTGGCATTTTGTATGGAAGTGCATTCTATGCCTTGTGACCCACAGATTTATAGTTGATTGAAGGAACGGTAAAATCTAGTTTTTTTTCTCTTGTGTGGCTGGAAAACTGCTGTTTGTTGAGGATCAGTTACTAATTAGACTTGCTGTAAATATACAGTGGATTTCGTTGAGCATTCTCTAAAACTAAAAACTGAGAATACAACTAAACCAAAGAAAGCCCAGCGGTCTTGCAGATTTCTGTTTAAGCAAGCTCCACTGCATTATATTTATAAGTTGTGCTTTATTTTTCTGTTCTGCTCTTACCTGTTGGGAATGATATGAAGCTCTTTGGCAGATTCACACATTAACTCTCTCACTATTGGTGGACAGTTTAACTCATACAGTGCTGAGCACTCCAGCAGTGAACTGCCCTCATATACTGGGCAGTTTTGTTATAGCAACATGAAATAAGGGCTACCAACAAAAATCAGTCAAAACTAGCCGGCTCAATTGCTGTTGGAGCAGAAAAAATTGCTCCTTGACCTTTACCATTATGCGTCATGATTAGTAAAATAACTTGGTATGGATGAGATAGACTAATTCTTTCTTAAAGATTGTGAGGCAGAATGCGAGAATACTGGTCGCTAGTATGTGGGCGGGGCCCAGGGTTCATGAGTATTCTCGTCCGTAGCACTGAATGAGTTAATCTGCTAGTAGTAGGTCGCTGCGGTGTCCTTGTTGACTTGAATGTTTGTAACTGAGCAGTTATTTCAAATCCATCAGTCCACATCGAAAATCACTGAATCTGTCTGTTCTAATCTCAAAAGAGGTCTTCTAAAGAAGGAAGAAGCATAACAGTATTCATATGAGCGAAAAATTATAAAATTTGTTGTTGTTTTCCTTCTCAGCTTCCATCAACACTCAAGATGGCTGAGCCAGGCTTTAGGCCATGTGGTATAAATAAACACAAGCCCTAAAAAAATCCTGTTAAAAATTTTTTTTTTCATTGAAGATAGGGAGGAGAAATATTCATGTTGGTGTGTGGTTTTATAAACAGCTGGCATGATAGTTGTGAGAATATTCTTTTGAGGGATTTTTCAATTTTTGAACGACTCGCCTCTCTCAACTTCCGTGTTAGATTGATGATATTCGCAATAACGTTTCAATATAGTGACTTATTGGAATTTTTTTTGTAACTCTGAAATCGACCCACTTTGAAAAACCCTCAAAAGAACAAGAATAAGTATACAGACTCAAGACAAGCCATGTTTGTTATTTAAAATAAACCTGAAACATTGGAAGTGGCTTTTCAAATGGTTTATAAAAATAAAACTACCATTGTTTTTGCCACAATTTACTTTGCAATCTGTTGTTACCTAGGGGATTTCTTCTTGTTACAGCAATCCTTCTGTGCCTACTACTGCTACATGACAATAGCAGTCCTTGTCCCTTTCATTGCCACTGACAAACCCCTTAAAACTGATACCAGTCCCTTTCATTTCTTTCCAATCTGAGAATTAAAATTGTCAGAATTGAGATAAGCTTGGCCCCATGAAGTTTCTTGCTAAACTGAAATAATTTTGACTGTCCTCAGAGGAGTGTTTTTGCTTGGGCCACAGCCACCACCCACCAGCCTGTATTGGAGGAACGGCTGAGGAATCGTATTGTGTCAACTGAGATAGATGAAGATGTGGATGAATTGTAACTGTGTATGTAATGTTAACACATTACACCCTAATTCGCCCGGGATTGCCCGGGAATTCCCTTAAGCGCTCCACCCTGACTCTCCCGGGACCGCCCGCACCGACCCAGCGTCTTTAGAAACGAAATCTCACCTTGGCGAGACACTGGGACCGAGATTTTGATTTGCATAGTTATTGCAAAAAGTTTCTTCTTTCGTTTGATACCAAAACGAAATTTTTCGGGGCAGTAGTTTTTTTAGTATTAGAGCCTAACGAAGTATGATCGCGTTACCGACACTTCGAAGTGTCTCGACTTGTTGAAAACCGACACAATTGAGTTCGAATAAGGAAATAACGATGGATTTGAGCAAAAACAAGCATATGGCAAATCATATGACTCAGATTTTGATGAAAACATTGTAGCAAGAGTTTGGGGCGATTCGGATTGATCAGACGTAGAAAATCTAGAATTTAGATCTAAGGCCCTACCGCGAGGCTGAGAGTGAGAGTGACGGGTCGGACACCCCGATTGAACTAAAGTTAGAACATTTCCAACAGTTTGCGCAGACATAAAGTTATATTTTTCTGAAACTACATTCATTTTGCGATTTAACTTTTATTTTTTCAGGATTTTTGGAATTGGTTTAGTATTTTTAAAATGTGTTTTTGAAAGGCCTGTATTCACGGGAGGTGGGTTCTTTCCCCCTGCTTAGGATCTAACAATGGACTTCCCGTCCAGGCCCTTAGGGTGTAATGTGTTCAGCAAGATCCAGAGTACTGAATGCTCATTTTACACATCCAGCAGATTGTGAAAATTAGTATTTACAGCTCATCATAACAGTTGTGCCATAGAAATGTTTGCTAAAAGTTTTGATCATAATAAACTTTGTAAGTAACTTTTCTTCATGCAGCTTACAGTAGGCCTATACCTGCTATAGAATTTTAAGACTCTTGAAAACTTTGTTACATGATGTTCTTTTGTAGTATAGGTAACTCAACACCCTTCCCATGTCTTTTGCAGAACTAATTTGTAGATGCTGGAACGATTGCTGTTACATAGTGATTTAAATAAGCAGCAAGTTTAAAAGCATACCACAATCCACAGAACCTGTTCCTTGCTTACATGGCCCATCGAATTTGGATATATATAGATATAATAATGTATTGTAAATACGTGTAAATATTTTCTTACATGACCACACCTTTGTTTTTGTATGTCTCTGACTGATGTATGAAAAGCATTGTTTGCTTTCTTTTCAATCTTTGTTACAATTTTTTTAAAATATATTTCTTAAAATTCTGAGAAAATGGAGTTTTTCTTTTATTTTCAGTCACAAGTTGAAAGTATGCCTTCTTTTGATATTTTCTTCTGCTTATTTTTAAAGCAGTTTTTTAATTTTAAAACTCTTGTAATAGCTCCCAGTAAAGAAATTTGGTTAACCTTAGACATGCTAAGTCCAGACAGTGATGTTAGGTTAAAAAACTAAATGTTTGACTGAAAACCTCTCCCAAGGGATGGTTTATTTATCCAATCCTTTTTCATTGGTCTTTTCAAATGTTTTTGAAATCGATGAATTGTCCCATTGAGATTATCGAAAGGGATGCTGCTGAAAAACTAATTGGAGTAAAGGTGTACTTTTGTTCACAAGAAACTTTAACCCTTAAAACCCTATATCGCTGGTAACCGCAGACGCCGTATTTTCCTATACCACAGGTCAACTTTTTCGTTTAATTCCCGGTGCTAGATACAAGGGATGTAACTCCAGATGACTCTGTCGCGAGCAGAAAGTAGGCCTACCGATAATATCATGAGAGCAGTTCTACACTGTAAGTTAAGAAATTTTGCGAGTTTTTAAAAAGAATTAGTGACTTTTCACTGCCAGGCCCTTCAGGTCGCAAAATTTTTGACATTTTTGATCCTGAATGAGACCCCAATGACGATCTCCCAGTCGGATATATCGATAAATTTTAACTGTTGAAGATGAATGCAATATTTCACAAAACATCGATGATGATTTTGACGATAGTGGAAGTGGCAGGGATCACCACTAGAGCTACCAGAGGCTAGATCTAAGGCTGGGTCTAATGACACTTTGACTGAAGTGGAGCCAGGGATCACACACAGGACTTTACTCATAGAGTTGGTCCTAAAAATTACTGTTTTAACCTTTTCCCTTTTTGTCCAGATTGGGCATTCATATAAATAACATTTTCAAATTTCAGTAAAATCTAACAACAATTAAAGACACAGTAATTAAAACAATGAACTGTCCTAATTTTTTCTAGAATCTTGATTTTGATTCAGGATTCTATGGAGGTATGAAACAAAAAAATTCAGGGTTCTAAGGGTTAAAAGATGTGTTGCTAGATACCAATATACAGTCAAACCTGTGTAAGACTGCCACCCATTGTCAAGGAGAAAAGTGGCCGTATAAGACAGGTGGCCGTCTTAGGCAGGAATGATCAAGATGAAGGAAACAAACCATTCCCATCTGGGGTCCCAATCGAAAGTAGCCGCATTGTTGTTTTTGTTGCTGTTGTTGTTGGTGGTGGTGATGTTGGTTTTTATTTTGTTTGTAATTTTTATTTTGTTGCTGATTCTGCCCAAGGGCGACAATAAAACGAAATGTGTCAGCCTAGGAAGACCGAGTGCCATGTTAAAACAAACACACGGGTCGCCACCAATCGGAGAACGAGCCACGCTCCTGTCACGAGTTCATGTTGACGTCCGTTGTTACTTTGTTACAGACTGGGTAAACAGTGACCACTCATTTCACTTACGATTTGTGTATGCGTTCTGGGCGGGGCTTATGGGTTATAAGGGATCACACGCTTACCTCACCAGCAGCTGAAAATTGGTAGCTATTGGTCAACAATGGGAGGGGCCTACGCATCAAGATCAGTTGGAGGGACTACCTAACAACAACGACAGGTGATTGAATAATGACGGCTCGCCCACAATGCCAATGCACAATTTATGACAAAATGTAATGAAGTCACTAAGGTGGCCATCTAAGACAGGTGTAATTGCTTAGTGTGATAGGGCTTGTGTGTTAAAATATGGTGGCCGCGGCCGCGTTGGACAGGTGCCTGTTTTACACAGTTAAATTATATAGAAAAAACGCAAGGGGGGAAATGGAAAGTGTCCGTTTGTACAGGTGTCCGTCTTATAGAGGTGGCCGTCAGGGCAGGTTTCACTGTAATTCGCTTCTGACATATCTTCCATCTCTTCTGATTTTACATTATCCTATGACTCAATCCTTTCTCAGTTGCAGAATATGTCACATTGTTTTTATTGTGTTCCCTTAAGACTTTCATCATATGACATCAGCAAACATTTTTATTTGGAGAAGCGTGTCTCCTTAGTGACAAGAGTTGTTGTCAGCAAGGAAAAAGCGTGAAGTTTTTCTCAAATTACACAGAGAAAGGCTGTTGGTGCTTAAGTCCAAAGCTGAAGTAAAAGTTTTTGATAAAGGTGGGCATATCTATAATCATCGTCTTAGCTGGTTCTGACAATTTGATGCAAGGGAGCTGCTTTTTGTCTTGATGATTGGAGAATTTGTTTTACATTATATTTTGAAATTGTAAATCTCATTCAATTCAATCAGGGGACAAAATCCATTTTCTTGGTGCACATGTAAACAAAGCTAGTAGTTGCAAAAAAAATTAATTAAAAATTAAGTTAAAAGTTTGAGTTCACATGCACTGTTTTCCACCCCATGTAATGATTTGTGGTCTAGAAACTCACCATCACCTTGATGAGAGGCTTTATCTGGTGCAACTGGTACAATGTATTCAAATGGGAGATGCAAGTTACGACGTAAATGTGTGCTGCACTACACTTTAGAGTTCAGAACTTTCAAGATACTACAAATCATCATGTAATTGTTACCAAGTGTTACCGTAATAATTACTCATCCAAGAAAAACACTTTTCTTTAAAAAATCATAATTTATTTCAACAACGGTAATGGTATCACATCAGGGTGTTCATAAACGTCTCTTCAAAACAACTTTGTAAAGTTAATGTCAGCTAAAGAAGAATATAAAAGCAAAGTACAGCTTAACTGATTAACTGAATTGTGATTAAAGTGTTTTAAACAAGACACAAAAAAACTCATACTTTAGCACAGTTCTATGAAAGGTATGAACTATTAACAAATGTTATACATGCCTCATTTCACATTTCATACAGTATGAATTTTACATCAATTCTTATTTAACATCTCAGATTTGCTGGGCTAAAAATAAAAAAATCAATTTAAAAATGACGATGTTGTGAAAACAATATCAATCTAACATTTACAACACACTTGACATCTTGTGGCAAGGAGGCCAGATGCTAAACAGCAAAAATGGTCATAATTGCATAGTTAAGGGTTGTGGATGCCCCCATAACTCTCTCTCTCTCCCTCCCTCCCTCTCTCTCTCTCTCTCCCTCTCTTTCTCTCTCTCTCTCTCTCTCTCTCTCTCTCTCTCTCTCTCTCTCTCTCTCTGTATTTCATTCTTCCACTCTCGTTAATGCAGTCCACACTTTGCTCTTCTGTCTCTCTTTCACATCTTTGAACATTCATTTCTGTTGAGAAGGCACAGTTTTCTTCCACAATCAAATCTTTGAAGCAGTGTTCTTAACCCTCCAAATGTCAGTAACAAAAATAGCCTGTAATGTCAAGGAAAATTATATTTCACCATATTACATTGGAAAATGCTCGAAAACAGGCAAACCAAGCAAGTAAAGGCCATGAACCTATACATTTTTCGAAAGTAGAATAAAAAAAATAGGTAGTAGTAGTAGAGCTCATTTTTGAAGGAGTTATAGCGTCTAGGGATATGAAAAATAGGATAGATTAAATTGGCTACAACACACACCACAGAACGAAACTTACGGTCGATTTAATCGGCTGTTGACGCTTGGAGGGATAAACTCAAGCTTATTCTTCAATTTAAGTCACACTATAAGAAAGAACTCACAGCATAAACACAATGAAGCAATGCTCTAAGAGATGAACAAGGCATATGGTGTCTTTCAACGAATACATTGTGAAATACTTGTAAATTGATCATAACATAAAAAGTTGTCGTTTTATGTGCAGAAGAAACTTCTTCAAATTACATAAAACTTTTTACTTTTACAATAAATTTCTTTTTGTAGCACACACCATAACTTTTTCCTTTTGGAAACTTTTTAACTCCATAATCTTTATATTTATATATGTACAGACCCGGCCAGGCTTTCTAAAACCAAGGTCCATAAGCCTGGGAAAGTGGGGAGGGGGAGTGGATGAAATACCCTTCCCTTATTTTATTAATCCTTCTTTGACCTTCAGTACCCATTAATAATTAAAGCAATGCATCCATAAGTTTTTCGTTTGAATAAGTTAAGTACGTGCACTTAAGCTGATGGCTTTGGCAAAAGAGAGAAATGTTTATACACATATATGTACAACAATAGATGTGTTTTAATGATAACAAATTGAAGTACAAAACATTCTTTTTTTCATTAAGAAAAAAACAATGTTATCATCATGAAAGAGCCATAGTATCAACATTGACAATACACTAAACCCTTCTAGACCATGTCACACGAATTCTGTCCCCATGGTTTTATGCATCCAGCATAATTTAGCAAAATTTGATCATTTTTAGCTTAATTTCTTATTATTTTGCTTTATCATTCTTTGTGAAAATTAAAAGAATCGCATAATTTCACATTTTTGGGCTCAGTTTGAATAATTTGAGATTTTTTCTTGCATAAAACGACGGGGACAGCTAATTCCATAAACAGCTCCTACCCTGTGAACACCACAGAATGCACGAGAGCGTGACCAAGTATTTAAAAGGTTTCACGAACCGTTTCATGAGGAAGACGTTCTGTGCATTATCCTTTTTCTAAGCAATCTTCATCTGGTCTTAAATTGAAAAAGCAAAATAAATTTTTTTTTTTTTTAAAGAAGAGAAAAGAATCTCTACCTCTTCACACACACCATAATAAAAACCTCAGAGTGGAAATGCACAATTAGGTAATTTTATTTTTAAAGGCTCAATGAAAAGACAGGCAAAAAGAGGATGTCCTATAGAAATATATGCAAATTCCCAGTCTGTTGTGAGGCTCTACAGAGGCCAAAACAAGAAAAAGTCCACACCTCTACAAACAGCTGAACAATAGCTACATAATCGTGCATTAATTCATTAATACAATTGTTTTCATTGTTTACATTCATGTATGACTACATTCATTTACCTATTTTCTCACAAGCCAAAAAATCCTAGAATTATTTCTTGGTCTTCAAGTCAATCAATGATGCAAAGAAGTTCGTAGATTTTTGGAATACAAATAGAAAGTCACCGCAAAAGATTAACTTTTCATGCCTAATTCTAATGTAGCACAGACGATGCATTGGCGCTATAATTTCCTGTCATATTACGTCTTACCTTTATCTTTATCTTGATTGGAGCCATGTTATATAGTTTAGTTCATTTATTTTTAAAGCCAGTATGGAAAACTTAGAACAATAGTCTCACTGGGGTCTAGAGTGAACTGTGACGCAGCAATCAATTTACACTAAACTGAAGCAACCAATATGGGCCTACCATTAGTAAGAAAACAATTCACTTGGGATTGGAGAAGCATTTTATCTGTCTGCGGATGAAGTAAGAACTTTCCTTCACATTCATGCAACGGGGCAACAATGGACCTAAGTGAAAACAAAAAACCCGCTGTCAATAAATTGTCATTGTGGCTTCTGACTACAACACACAATTCTTTTAGTCAGTTATAATAATAACTGTAGTCCGAAGCCAACAAGCCTGTGATTTGTCACAGCTAATTGGAGAGAGAATGCAAAGTAAAGCAGGAATCTTCAACGATATATATAATATATGCATATATATATATATATGAGGCCTACAAGCGGTGGTATGATTTTAGCAAGCTTAGAAACTAGCACTAGTAAACAAGTATGAGCAGAACTAGAGATCAAGAGCACACTTTAAATTGAAGATTAATATTTGTGACAGGGCCCTTTTCCAGATGGTTTTTAACCTACAGCACTCGACTGACTGAACAAGCTACACATCTATCTCTGACCAAAAGTCTTCACCGTGGCCATGGTATCACAACTCAGACGAGGGCTGGAATGGGAAAGTGAAAAGGTTGGGTGATTAGAACAGTAACAACTAGTTTAAAAAAGTCATGCACCTCACTTTAGTCACTCTCAATTTGCTTCTCCAACCCCCCAAAAAAACTCATCAACTCTTTCATTTGAATATCACTGGTATATCCAGGGATGGCCCGCTAGTGTGCAATCAAGAATGTCATCAGTATACCAGTGATGAGGGACTGAAGAAATGGCCAAGAAAATAATAAGCAGTGCAAACAAAGATCATTGACACTCTATCTGGAGGGGGACAAATTCAGAATTAGTGCTTTTACTATCACTTTAGTTCCGTTAATAAGCAAAGTTTAGAATTGAACGGACACAGACCTCAAATAAAGATGCGATTGAAAAGAAAGTTTAACTGTAATTTCATGGGCATCATTTCCATTTCATGAAAGCTGCAGAAATAAGTCAAATTAGCAAGAAAAGCTTTCAGATATTGAATGTGAGTATATTGTGAGTGCAGTGCCAGTGATGAGTGACGGGCTTCTGACAGTGAAATCAATGTAGACCAGCAGTGTTTGTGCATAGAGGATGTGATCAGGTTGCAATTAGAAATGAATCAAGAAAGGAAAATTAACATTTTAATTGTGGTTAACTGTTAATCCTTCAAACGTAATATTAGAAATGATAATATGCATTCCAAAACAAGTTCTTCTTGTGCCCAAACCATTCCTGATGTAATAAAAGTATATTTTTAATTAATAAATATTTAATGTCAGTTTTCTAGCAATGCTCCTGAGTTATGTTTGCTTTGGTTAAGGAAGGCACAGACCCATAATGGGAACTCGGCTATAAGGGCTGCAGCCAAGAAAGGTATATAAACTTGCAAGACCTTGGAGGGGATTTTTTTCTCCATTTTATAAACTTTCAGGAGGGAGAAAAGTTGGATATCAAACTCGACTTAAGTTTGTTGTGCTGTAGATGTGTTCTTCAGAATTGTCATGAGCACGTGGGGTGGAGGCCTTGCCTTGAATTCTGTACGATGAAACTGATGATGCATTGGCATATGTGTTATCATCATCATCTGCTTCCAAGATTTCTCCAAGCTTCCGAGCAACGGAGGCAATGGAGGGCCGAACTTCATTCTCTAGTGACCAACATGTCCGTAGCAAGTCGTAACTGTGGACAGATATTTGAATGCATTTCAAGTTTTTCATTGTTAGAATACTATGTACAAAGAAGTATGGGAAGGTAGGGGAATTCCACACCCCCACTTACAGCCCTTAGAACCAACAGAAATCTGTTTGACATTCAGCTTTTATCATTTGCTTCTGTCTGCCATGTTTTATTTTTCAATTTAGCTTTAATTTCTCATATGTCTGTCTTTTTATTTTCATTTTGGCATGTGTGCTCATGTGGGTGTGGAATTGCCCCACAATATTACATTTTTAATTAATTTGAAAAATGAAAGTATGGGGATGCTGATATTGTAGAATTCATATTATGTTTTGTTTCCTAACTTATCAGACCAAAAGTAAAACTATTGGGGAGGATGTGTCCTCTTTCTACATAAAGTAACATCGATAACACTTGTCTCACAATCCAATTGAAAAGTATGGTGTGGAATTCCCAGATAATTATAAGTTGCCTAGTTAAAACAATTCAACAAACATACCGGGTAGCAAAAATAGTATTTGCAAACCTCCCTAAAGTTGTTGGCAACTTTCATTTTAAAAACCTTGAAGTATATTAAGATAATGCAAAAGTGTTAAGGAAAATTAAGTGAATCTCCAAAAACCAAAGGGCACTCTACTCTGATATGCCGTAAAACCTCCACTAAAACAAAACAAAAAATATGAAGATGGCTTCCAATAAAAGTTTAGAAATACTTTTCGAGCCTTTGAAAAATAATGAGAAAAAAGAAAAGAAAAGAAAAAATACCTGTGAATCATTACAGCCTAACATCACTATTCTATTGAACATGACGGAATGTGTGTTTTACTTACACATCATTAGAAAGAGTCTCAGGCTTTCCAAGGATGTAGCCCTGTAGAATATACTCTCTGACATCATCAGCTTCTGTCACCTCATGGAATGGTAAACACCCACGCGTCAGAAGTTCCCACACCAGGACAGCAAATGACCACTGAGGAGAGAATTCACACACTTCATGAGTTTCTTGGAACAGTATGAGTACCATGGAAGTTTATCTGGAAGAAAATACAGCATTACTATTGCAATGGCTTGTTCTACCTTCTGGCTGTAATCCTTTGAGCTCTTAAAAATTTGTCATTCATGCCTACAGCGTCTGAGCATCTGAGCCTCCTTAGATTTGACTGCTAGAACTAGATTTGCACACTACAACAAATTGTCGCCTATCTTTAGAACGGAGAAAGGTAGTAATCAGTAGTAAAGGTGAATTATTACACTTGCACTCACTACTCACTGGGCAACGTTTAAACACCATCTGAGTTATCTTATCTCGGACATTAGATGAAAAGAATGCCATGGCTTTATATAACAACAGAAAAGACACTGAACATACAAATACAAGTTCAGTGTGAGGGACAGAAATGTCTGCATGAATGGCGTTGGAGAATGAAATCATCATCTTCCTGAAGCATAGGTTCTGACGCTTAAATTAGTTACACTTCACTGTTTGCTGTGTCTTTCTACTCCAGCTCAACAGAGAAAGGAAATCAAAACACTGCTCTACCAAACCATGTTTGGGATTGTACACTGAAGTCACGGATCACTAAAACCTACCAATTGTATGGAAAATAGGAGATACTAAGCATGAATGAGTTCAAATAACACACTGTGGTATGAAGGGACAGATAATGCAGTTCTTTGAGAGCGTGTCCAGAGATATGTTCTACTCTCACAGAGTTATAGGTATCATCTTAAAGCTTGCTGATTTATCATGCTTTTGTTGAAAAAAGTACCCATCTATCTTCAATAGAAGTCAAGATATTCGCGATTGAAGGAAGTGGGGGTGGGGAAGGAGGGGTGTCACCTGGTTTTAGAGGTAAAATTAGCGAGAAAATGGTCGCCAAAGTTTGGCGACTTCCATAGCTTGAGAGTCCTTGTAAATGGAAAATTTACATTTTTTGTGTGCCAATGTATTTCAGTAAAAGCCGCATGTAAATGTGTTTTTAAGTGGGCATAAAAAGTTTTGAGTTAAAAACAAAAATTTGAGAAAAATTACGATATCTTCGATTTAATTTCATTATTATTTTATCGAGCGCCTGATTTCACCACGATGCTTCACATTTCTTGTTGCTATTTGCACTAGCCATAATAAATTTTACAATTGGAGAAAAAAAAAAGTGATAATACAGACTCCTGTCACCCCTTCTGGTAGCTGTCTATTTGTTCTGTCATTGTACATAAGACTTGAGACCTACCATGGAAGGCTGTACATTCTATAAACAACAACAATAAAACAAAAACAAAATACAGCCATTCAGCTTACCACATCTGTTCTGCTGTCATAGTAACCATCACTGATGCTCTCTGGAGCCATCCATCGCAAGGGCAAATAGCGTTCTCTCTGATCATCATAGACATATTCATCAGGGTAAAAGTCCCAGGAGAACGCTGCATCACCCAGCTTCACAACAGAAACGTCATCCAAGCTGAAATAATACCAAACACAAATTGATAAGTTCCAACTAGAAATAGTCATTGATATTTAGGGGAAAGTCATCTGTTCTAATACTGTAATACCATTAGCTTAAAGTTTCAATTTCAGCAAAACAAGCAGACACCAGTGAAAATCACATAAGACTGTGCGGTATCATGGTGAAATCAGGCACTCATCAAAATAATGAAATCGGAGAACCTGAATTTTTATTCTGCCCATGTAGCAATTTTCACCTCTCTCTTTGAAAACTTTTTTTTGGCTCAACACTTTTTATGTCCATTTGAAACCACATTTCTGTGTGGATTTTACTGAAAAATATTTACCAAAGGCTAAAAAAATATAAATTCGGAGTTTCCCAGGAAGCTCAAGCTTTGGAAGTCACCCAAATTTCGTGGCCTTTTTCTGGTTAATTTCACCTCTACTTCCTTCATATGCAAATAGCTTGACTCATGTCCCTGATAGACAGATAGGTATTTTTTAAAATCAAAGCAAGACAAATGAACAAGTTTTAAAATGATACCAATAACTTCAGATGCCAAAAAATGCTCAGCACCTGATTTCACAATTGTTAAGAAACTGTAGACACTGTTCCTTTTTACTTTTTTCCACAGAAGAAAAGAAAAAGGGTTGTCCATTCAATACCGACTACAAGAGTACATTGAGAGACACAACAGCTGTCTAGGTCAAACAATAGCACATCCCTTTCTGTGCCACCTTACAATAACAATAATTTGACTCATATAGTGAGGTCAAATATACATGGATTATGGCTGGTGCCTCTATAAATAAATCATTGTTGGTCAAGGTCAAGTGAGGTCACAATAATTTTGAATGAACTTCTTCCCAACTTACAAACAATTTCGGGCTGCCACATCTTTATGTGTAATGTCTTTAGAGGCCAGGAAATCAATTCCCTCTGCAACTTGTTGACTGAAAGCAAGCAGCTGCCTCACACTGAATTCCTGTACGAAGAAAAAAAGAAAACAAGGGAAAGGAAATGAGTGGGGTTATGTTCCACAAGGTATCTCTATGAATGAATGGTGTTAAGATCTGACATAAAGAAAGGTACTTCGAAATATTTCAAGTTATACAGAGAAATTATATGTGTGAACTTGTAGTCCGAAGAAATAAAGGTTTGACACATGGTCTCATATCTTTTAGAAATGTACAAAAAATGAATATCTTTACATAGAGGTATAAATGCGTGTCATCAGAAATTTAAAAAGGGAATGATATTTCACCATGATGCAAAAACTATTTATAGAGTATGCTGAAAGATCTATTTTAGTCAATTTTTACCATCTGTAACGACATGTCCTCAATACATCGCCTGCAGAGCATGAGCTTTCTAGACTAGTCCCAATAAAAATATTTATCTAAAAATAGCTGAGTCACAATATGAATCTTACTCAAATGGTTATCATCTATATAATTTTTGTCAAAAAAACATTAATTGTTTCATAAAGCATTCGCCTGCAAGCAAATTGATTTGTTTTTGTTTTCCATAAAGCAGCTGATGTTTAAAAATACTTCTCACCAGTCAAAGAGACTTCTACAGCACTTACCTTATCAGTGTTTGAAATGACAGCTTTCAGTGTACCCTGAACCATATGAGGGTACAATATATGAAAACGTTGTTTGTCCACACCAATCCCATAGATACTGAGAACATGTGTATGGGTATAGCGACGTAACCTAAGACACTCGCTTAAGGCCTGGTTGGCCCAGAGAGGCAGAAGAGAGTCTGAAGAGAATAAAGTAATAAAGTTAATTTTTAAAAGGTAATACTAATAGTTTTGAAAACAAGGTTCAAAAGTATGTGATCATTCACTGTATGGTCTGTACAAACAAAACTGGGTTATCACTCAGCACAAAAAGGATTTCTTCAATCCACCCATTTGTAATGAAAGGAACATAGAACTTGTGCAGAGAATTCTACAATATGATAAAATAGTTTCAAAGCCACACAGCAAACTCTAAATACTGCAACTTTTAAAAAACTGTTATACTTTGAGCAACCAAATTAGATTTATCGATACCTTGAGCAACTGGTTCTGTCAGACTTTTTATAGTCAGCTTCATCACAGGCTTCCCATTCTTTTGTATGGCTCCATCACACAGAATGGCTTGCTTCCCTGTGAGTTAGAAAGACCAAATATGTTTTTATTCTGTACAATGGCAATGGCCATAATGTCATAAATGTTGCAATGCCAATGGCTGTTACAGTATTTTTTTCAACAATAACTTACCAGTTGAAAAACTGATTACTTCAAGAGTATGTTAGTATTATGTGAAATGAGACCATGATAGTACAGACTATCAGTATTTCGGAGAAAAAACAGGAAAAAAATTTACTCAAATTTACTGCCAAAGTGATACACATGCAAATTGGAGACTGCATTATGGCAAAGAGATGAGAGTAAAAAATTATGAGAGACTACTGAGGAGACCTGAATCTGGCACTGAACATATGGCACAGTAGTGTGCTCTATGAAGTTCTTACCTTTGAATATTGGATTACGTCCTAAATTAAAATGTCCCCTTCCCACATAGCATAAGCTGACATCCTCTCTCAACCCTGGCTCTATATGGGGCAAGAAGTCCTCCATTAATACAGCATCCTCAGCACTGGAATTGACAATGCCCTTCTTTGGTTCCTTGATGACTGTTTCCATATGGATATTGCCATGAAAGCCGTTGGAAGTTGGTGGTTGGTCCATGACGCTGTTCACTGGAATGACAAACACAAACAAAATATACATATTAAAAAAATATCAAGCCTATCATAGAGAACATGTCACCTATACATTTCACTTTTTAGCTCCAGAGCCCTTCATACCATAATTTTGAGTGAATCATTTAAAATTGTTTTAAATATATGACACAAATAACTGAACAAAAAACTTTTCAAACTCAAGCAGAATCCTGAACGTTCATCATCGGTCTGTGCACTGCTGCCTGTTTCTTTTGATGTCCCAATTAATAATCTATAGCTTCAAACTTTGACTCACATTCTGCGTAATCGTTCATACTACGAGGCTCAGAAGCGACCAAGTTCTTGTGATCCAAGTTGTCAAGTGTTGGGGGTGATTTCTTATTCCTCCTATACCGGCAGCAACAACAAATTATGATGATGCCAATTACAATGAGAATCACAGCAGCAACACAGCTGATGATGATGATAAACCCAGTTGTCTCATAAAACTCCAGGTATTCCACGGTGCCAACAACCCTTTCAATGTTCCCAATAGAAATCTGGGGACACAAAAAAAGAGGAAAGTCACACAGTCATAATAATATTAATGCATCTTTTAATTAGGTAAGTAAAGTTGAAAGATTCAACTTGTGAGCTCCATCAATCAAAGCCTCTTTCTAAACTACTTGGTCATAATTCTCAACTTTGTTGGATGATATGAAAAGATGCTTCCTCCTTTTCTCAAGGTGCACAAAGGCCAGTTAGTGTGTACTGCAGAAAAAAAATAGATATATACCTTTCTGTAAGAGGAAAAGTACTATCCTTTTAACACTGTAAACAAAAAGTATATAATGAAATGCTTAAGAGACCCATTATGGCTCTATAAACTTACACATATTCAACCTGGGTAACAAAACATCTCAACTTATTTGTGTATAAAAGTTTGCAAAATTTAAAAAAAATAGAATCTACTTAAATTAGGGCGGAAGCCTTTTTTGTTCCAGCCTTACCTTTATTTCATGTGACCTTTTCCCATTTGGAGCAGACTTAGGTGGTGAGCATTCTATCCCTGAGTTGGAAATACTCTTAATATCACAGTGTACAACACCAAGCAGCACTTTGTAGTTGTTGTCATGGCAACCATTCAATAGACGTTTTCCCTGCAGAAGAAAATGCATTAAGCTTCAGAGACTTGAGAACATACCCCTTTGTATCTTTCCAGGAAACTAATTTTTACCAAGGCACACATACTTTTTCAACCCATTTCTAGCAATCATACAATTTCAAAGGTGAACAATGGATGAGAATAAAATAAACACAATAATTAATGTAAACTTGACTGGCAACAAGATAAAGTTTTAAAGTGTAGAAGCCAGTTGAGAACTTTGCTATATTATATTACTTATGTTAGTAATCCTTACAGCACCGGGTTATATTTAGCCCTGACTTCCTTTAGGCCCAGTAATTCTTGAATCTTGGACTCCTCGGGCTCAGCTAGCACGTACTGACCAAGTCTGCAGATTTCTTTTGCCGACATTAAAAGAAACTTATACTGCTTTTGATAAAGTTTATAAACATAACATGTCTTCAGACAACTGGATAGACGACTAAAATACTCGACTATTTTTGAGGTTCACAGCTCCCTGTAAGGGAAAGATATACAACTGGGCCAAAGCACTGTAAACTACTATGTTTTTAAAACAGTGAAAAAAAAAATTCATTTGCAATGTTCTGATTCGTTTGGAATTCACTGAACAAAAAAGAAATTAGGAAAACAATTGTAAAATCAAAAACACATGGATTCTATAGCAATAGATGATAATTTAAAGAGGAAACATTTTTATAAATCATGACTTACTGAAAGTGAGATTGTTGTCTCAAATGGATATTGAAACTTTATAGTTCCTTTGTAATCAAAGACTGGGTCGTCAACAACTTCAAGGTTTCCGATGTTAGAAAATGACAGGCCATCAAAGACTGCTGTCATCTTATATTGATCACTTGGATTATTTGGTAAGGACAAATTTTTTAGATCTGGTGTTCCACAGATGACATCACTGTCAACATGTCTGCAGATCTGAAAAAAGAAAGAACAGAGGGAGAGAATGAACATTGATGGAAATCGTTATAAATTATGGGAAACCAAAAGGCTGTTTTCACATACTTAACATGATATTTTGAGTACTCAACAAAAAATTAAAGAGAATACAATTATACATATACACTTTCCTTTTCCTTTAACTCATTCGCTACGTATTATTTTCGGCTTACGGGCGAATTTTTTTTTGGGAAGTCGAAATGAGATGATGACTAGTGCGCAGTTCAAAGGTCTTTGAGGCTACAAATTCAAATAAATATTAACATATTATACACCAAAATTTTTAATATGATTTGTAAAATATATCTGTAATGTTTATTTGTGCATGTTTCAACATTTGTTCCTGTAAGAGGCGATTACGTAACACAATTTTGCTTGGATTCGGATAAAATTTGAAAATAAAAAATTTACCATCTTCGGTGAAACTCAAAAAATATGTTTGCACCGAGTCAAATGATACATCCAAATAACCATAAATGATTATGGAGCTGTAAAATATTGAAAAATTTGTAGTCATTTATATACATTTCATAAAATTTGCACATTTGGATTATGATAACCGACATTGAAAAAAAAAAATTTTTAATCTTAAAAAATGGACAAGATGCATTCACAAACAGAAAAAGAACACTCGTATCGTATATGGAATTATTCAGAATTGCATTTAGAATAAACCTACACATGTCTTGAGTGGTACTTTCACAAAAAAATAGTGATTTTCTGGAGAAAAAAATAATTTGACAATAGCACTGAAAAATATTGATTTCTCAATAACAGAGCAATGGCAATTTGGGCCCAATCGTATAAATATTCTAAAAAAGAGTCCTACATTTCTTCAGTGTGCAAAATAATGATATATTTTGTTGTGAAAAAGTAGTAAGACTGGCGTCTGGGCGATAACTTGAGCATCGCGATAAAACAAAGTCGCATAAATTTCGAAATCGTGTTTCAAAACTGAATCAAAACTTTCGATTTTCAGTGGAAACACTTGACTTGAAAGTCAACATTATATTACGACCTTTATTTTAACATGTAAATGTGGATTGGAATAGAATCTAAGCTAAAATTGAACGTCGGTTCTCGAGCCGCCGGTGGCGGCTTAGCGAACTGACGGGCACTTTAGCCGCGCCGTCCCCCACAGCTTGGCACAGTGAATGAGTTAAATCACAATTAACTCAGAATTCAGAACATTTTTCATTTAAACAGTTTTTAATGGCTGGTACAATTAATGTCAGTTACAACATCAAAAAGTAAAAACTTTTGAGAATCCCGTAACATTTTAGGTACAGTACACACGAGGTTATTTAAAAGACGTTAAGTTACATCTTCCTCCAGGTCAATTCAACTTGCTGAAAAGCGTGGATTGTCCAAGAAACACAAAATAAAAGACAGACAGGTTTTCTCAACATGGACTTACAGACACTGCAGAACTGTCTGGATTCCCTACTTTCTGGACACTCAGTTTTGGGTACTGCACACTCTCCAAATTGGTGCCAGAAAGTTGTATTAAGCATCCTCCACTGAGAATAAAACCAATAAAACAAGATGAAAAATAGGACTAAAATCAGCACATCAGCAGACTGACAACAATATCACATTAACAGTCATAAGAACAACATAAGCCAGAACAAAACAGCAAATGGCTCAAACTTCAATGGAATAAACATACAGGATTAACATCATGCAAGCAGCCGCTACTTTCTTACAGGAGAGGCTGAAAAGTTCTCTAAGAGTCAAATTAAATAAAATGCTACTCGAGATCTCTATTCCTCTCCAAATGAAGAGGTTCCTGCAATATTAATATAAAACTTTGAGAATCTGATATCTATGGTAATTCAAAAGTCTACCTGATGAATGTAGTGAGACCAGCTCCTGTGCGTGGGTTCACTACAGGGTTGGGTCTGAAGCTGAACGATGTATTGAGGTCTAGAGGAACATCCACCTGTTTCCAACTGAGTTTGACGGGAACACTCTTTGGTCCTGTGGTGCTGGGTAGGGCTACAGTTTTGAACACCAAGGCACTGTCATCACTGGAGATGAAAGTAACAAGTGATAGATAAGTAACAAGATATTATAATTTTCATCATGACAATCACAATGACCTCAAGACAGAAATTTATCTTACTTTAAAAAAGAGAATAATCTAGTAAGTTGAAGATAAAAAAAAAATATGAACAATAATTGCCCCCTTAAAATTATTTGAGTCTAGGCAATGGATTCAAGACTATTTCAAAAGCAAATCTTTTCCACTGTCTCTTGATAGTTCAATTGCTTGCTGGTATTCATCCAAATAGCAATATCATAACCTGGATTTCAAGAAATCTATCTTGGCGAGATGTGTAGGCCAATCATATTAGATTAAAGTAACCTTCTCTAACAAATAGTATCCGTACAGACAGTGGTGTCTTCGGGACTGTTAGCCTAAAAAAAGCAATAAAAAAAAGAAAAGAAAATGCTGATAAATGGAAAGAAAATTATTTTGTGGGAGTTTTTGTCCTTCAAACCCAGAAGTTAAATCACCCACAACAAATTTCTTTTAGTATCTCAAACAATGCACAGTGGAACAATTTTTCTCTTCTTTAAAGGGGTTATTAGTGACTGAGAAAGCGAATTTTTAAAGTGATAAAACTGCTGCTCCCTATAAAGAGCTCATAACAATATAAATTCAATGTACTTTTTAAAAATATTCAGGGTCCAACGTACATGTTCAAAAGAGCTGAAACCTTCACTTCGCAAGCTTAATTACAAAAACCAATGTCATCGCCATTCCACAACCGCTGTCATAATCATCAATATTTGATTTAAAGAAGAAAACAGAGGAGGAAAATCAAGTGAAAGAAGTGGAAGCATACTACTTACTGCTCACAATATGAGGTATTAGTAGCTATATATTACTGGAGCAGTTGTTGATAAAATCTCATACTTCTGAGTCATGAATTCAATTAGTATCCTTATAAGTTTCTGCTGTGTCATCCAGTTGGAAAATAAGATGAACAAATATTATTTGCGGCCACTTCAAAATTGCTCAGCCACTGAGGAACATTGTCCTCATGTTGATTCAATCTGTAAGGAAAACAATTTCAAATTTCTCACAGAACTCTACTGCTATATACACTGGAAATTAGCCAGGATAGCCACTCATTGTCAAAGAGATAAATGGTTGTCTTAGGCAGGTGGACAGTATCATTATAATGTAGAAAAAACCCACAAGGCTGGAAGTGATCAGGTAACTGTCTTGGACAGGTGACCGTTAGAGCAGGTTCAACTGTAATTGGGAAATCTCTCTAACAGTTTGTAGTCTGATTCATGGCAGGTATAAGGCACCATAGTATCATTACTGCCGGTGTGTTGAAGATGCACCACCTACAAGTGAAGATATAAGAACTTTAAAGCCACCATTATTATGATCTTTCACTCAGTATTTCCACCAGCCCTGTTCATTATGGACCTATGACCTGATGCTGAATATTCTTTGCCAGTTTTAGCCAGCTCTTTCCTCCTCTAGAATACAGTAAAGGATTCAATGTATTTTAATTGACGGGGAAGCAGTCTCTTTAAAAAAAAAGGAGCCCAAAGGGATTTTAAAAAATTTACTACATCACAAAAGACATGCAAGCCAAGTACACATAAGCTGAAAGCCCATTTCTAAAATCTTACAGATCAAAAACTGCTTGCTGCACATTTCCAATGAAAAGTGATGGATTGTGGGTTTCGTTTCCAAGTAATATTCCCCTGACAGTGACAAGGGTACCCCCTTTGAGAGGGCCATAGAGGGGTTTCACATCCAACACCTGCGGAGACTAAAGAAAAATTTTGGGTTTAATTAAAACTACATCTTTCTTTAATATCAAAGTTTGACTGTGAAAATGAATACAAAGGAAATAAAGATAAAGTCACTCTTAAACAAAAGTAAAGGCAACACCAACACCACCAACGAATAAAGTAGTTATTGTCATCACTATTGTACAAGTTTAAGAGAGTCTGAAAAAATGACTTCCTGGCAAGAAAATCTTCATAAGAGCCAGATCTCGAAAAGACATCAGCGGATATGGATTTTCACATATTTTTTTTTCTTCAGGATTTCTTGGGGTATTGCGCAGGAGGTTTCACATTAGGCCTACCTACCATCCATATGTGTACAGTTTTCTCTGTTAGCCCTAGTCATTTCAATTTCAATGATTACCCACAAGGTAGTGGAGGCTTTAACCAGATTTAGTTCATTAATCCTGTTTACCATTTTCATAGCTATATTTTGTCATATTCACGCATATGGTGTATTCTCTTTTCACAATAATAATCACTACCATAGAATTATGAAGTTCTATCTGACGTTTTTGGCCGTTTTGTGTTACTAAGAAGACCATTATGAGGTCAGAAACTAGCTATCTGCTCTATCAAATTCGAAAGATTATTCGGAGTAGTTCTCAAGATATTTAAATAACTGCATTTGAAACTCAAAATTTTTTTACATCAAATTTCTCAAAATTAGTTACTAAGCAGATAGATCTAGATCTAAAACTTTGTAACTCTAAGGTATCAATAAGCATGCAAGATGTAAAAACTAGCTCTCAACTGAACACAGGTTACTTACGCAGATACGGTCAGTGATGACACCTCCACGACAAGGACACTGGCCGTTATCTCTGTGGCAGGTTGAGTGCATCATGCCCACTTCATGGCACTTACATTCTGTACAACCTTGAGCATTAGCAGTGTCAAGTTTGAAAAAGCCACCTTTACATGTGCTACAGGTTTTACCTGAAATAATTTTAAAGAATCACTTCAAGATAATGAGCAAAAAAGATTAGTAGATCTATATCATAACACTTGCAATAAAAACTTACAGATTACTTTGGTCTGAGAAAGGACTAACAGGTTGTGGGTTTAAATTATCACCAAAATATATCAGTAGGTCTTTATTAATTGATACAAACCTAATAAAAGCATTGTGAAATCCGTTAATAACAATTAAATAACTTAGACATCAGCACATATCAGCACATTATAAAGAAAATCTACACAAACAAGACCCTGAGTAAGGTAACCAGAAATTTAACCAGCATGTTCCAAGGGGAAACTCTGTCTACCTTCAACATTGTCCTTGCACGGACACAATCCAGTGACTGAATCACACTGTGTGACCTGATTAATTGTCCCAGATGTGTTACAGTTGCACGCTTGACATCCGTCTGGTGTCTCCATCCCATAGTGATCTAGAGTACATCTTTCACACATTCCAGACACAGTGTTTGGCTTGCAGTCACAACCTCCTGTGATGTTGCTGGAAAGGTTTTAAAGTCTTTGAAAACAAACATAAAACAGTGTATTGTACAGAAAAAAAAGCTATACACTTGATATTTTCTGCTCCAACACTCTCATTTGATGATATAAAAATGAGTAAATTTTAATATTTCTCTAGCTATTTAAAGGAAGGTTTGAAGATATAAGAGAGATATCATAAAATATGAACACTAAAAAATACAAATTAGAAAACAAAACAAAATGTGAGGCATCGTGGTGAAATCAGGTGTCATCAAAATAAAAAATTTTTTTCTGGTTTTGAGATTTTTATAGAATTTTTTATTTTTGGCTCAATACCTTTTATGTCCATGTAAAAACACATTTCTGTGTGGATTTTACTGAAAAAAGCCTTGAATTAAAAATTGCTGGAGAAGTCTAATCTTACCTGCAGCTTAATGCACCAGTCAGGTTACAAGCACATTCCGTGCAACCTTCTTCATTTGAAGCGTTAAATCCATACGTCCAAGGCATGCATAAGTCACACTGGGGGCCCACAACGAATTTTTTGCATTTACATGCTCCACCATTCTGAGAACAGTAAAACACATAGAGTGATTTCAATAGTGTAATGGACTACTGGAAAAGATCTTAGAACTGATCTTAACAACCTGAAGATGTTTTACCCAAAAACTTATATTTTAATGTTAAGAAAAATATAAAGTACGCCTACAGTCACACACAATCCAAATGCATCATGATTTGGTTTTGGAACTAAAGAACAAAACCTGATGGAACTTTCACAAGTTTTAATTTAATGTTTGATACCGGTATGCATGAAAATAGAAGCAGCCGTAAGTACGTTCTTGGGAGTTACCGTGGCACAAATGTTATGTCTTTAATACTCCGGCCAATCAGTCTGCTGCTTTTCTGGACTTTGTTAGGGTTCACAAAAATGTGTTTGCTTACTTGTGACTGTACATCGTGATTCTCCACAACAGTCATGGAACAATACAATGTTTTATTGTTTCTAACACATCACAGATCACGCTAAAGCACTGGAGAAACTGAATAATTATTACAAAGATAATACATAGTTTACAAGAAAATAAATACAGATGGAGGGGGGAATTTCTAGATATTATAACAGTGTAAAAGTCAATAAAAGCTGGGAGCATAAATATTACTGATATATTCAATTCAATAACCTGTCAAAGGAATACGACTATAGTGTTGAATTAATTGTTACTTTTGGAGACTGTTACTTAAAAATCAAGCCAATTACCTTTTGTTTTGGTAAGTGTTTTATGGCACTCACAACTGCATAGGGTCAAATGAGCATGCGGGACACATTAAAGAGCAGGAAAGGATGTGAAAAGAGAAAATTTTAGAGAAGAAAATTTTCCGTCATTGTCATACTTTGAACCCTGGCCCTATTGAATGAGAGGCGAACACTGTAACCTCTAGACCACGAGAGCCCCCTATATGCTGTTACCTTTGTAAAGAAAAGCCAAAGCATGCATGAAATAGAACTTACCTCATCACAGGGGTCTGTGACATTAAACACACCATCGAGATTGCACTGACAGCTGACAGGACAGTCAAAGCTTGAGAAGTTTCTATAGTGATTGTTCTCACAAAAAGCACAGCTCTGTCCCTGAGTATGTGTGCTTGACAGGCAGTCACAAGTATAAGTATCATTGGTCATAGTGCAACTGTCAGCATTGCCATGACAATCACACCTAGAGAGGAAAAAAAATGGGAAGTTCCAGGTACAACAAAATGTTTATTAGACTTGGAATTGAGAGAAAGACTTGGACAGTTGTTGTTTTTATCCCCCCCCCCCCCCCCCCCCAAAAAAAAAAAAAAAAAAAAAGCAAAAGAAGTTTTTTTGTTCTTTTAAAAAAAGGATGGCAGTATGACGACTCACACATGAAATCCTGTTAAGCTATACTTTAACAGACACGACATGACGAAACAATATCAAAACAGAAAACAATGTGGGAGATAGAGAAAATTTGAACCCATCAAAGGGAAAAAGATGCCACGACCACAACATCAACTATGATCGGTATTATCGTCGTCTTAGTGTACATTTGCTTTAAGGATTTCTAGTCTCTTATGGAAAGTGAACAAAAGCATGCTCCCCGAATTGTAATATTTGCTCGTAAGCAGACTCAACAAAGGAGATTGGGTTGGGAGAGGGGTGTATGGGGTGAATCACACATGATTGTCATGCACTATAGTATACATATCCGCCTCCATCGGCTGTTTCTCTTCGGACCGTACATGGGCTCATCATGCCCGAGTAAACACATTTATTGAAGGGTCGTAGAAAAGCCCACCTCTACCCCTCTCAACCACTATCTTCATTTAACATAGGGCATTCCCTAGCCTCTTTTTTGGTGAATCCTCCTCCTCCTCCTCCTCCTTCTTCTTCTCCTCCTCCTTCTTCTTCTTCTTCTTCTTCTTCTTCTTCTTCTTCTTCTTCTTCTTCTTCTTCTTCTTCTTCTTCTTCTTCTTCTTCTTCTTCTTCTTCTTCAGGGTA